CTATCGCATACTGAATTTTATCTGCACTTAGTCATATTGTTTTATTTTTCTCTAAATTTTTTTTTCTCCTAAGTTTTGCTGCAAATTGCAAATAAATGAATAGTTTAAAAATAAATTAAATTAATAATTGAGCACTTGCGTAATTTTTTTTATAACAGGATTATAAAGAAAATCTCCTTATTTACTTAAAATTTCTTTTTTTATATTTTTTCATTAAACAAATTGTTAAATGTTTTAATATTTAACTTTTAAAATTTGTTTCAGTAAACAAATTAAACAATACTATGAAGACCAATGTTTGATATAATTTAAAATATTAAATATTCTGTTTAAATAGATTTGCAAACAAGAGTTAGTAACATTATTATAAACCAATTAACATAAGCAGTTTTTAAAATGAATAATGAGCAAGAGATATCAAATGTGCGAAAGTTTTTCTACTTTAACTTCAGAGATTCATTTCATTATTATTCGAAATTATAATATGTAATTAAAAACATAATCCTTTAAATTCTAATTGGTCTTTTTGTTTTCATTTAATCTTTTTTATTATTTTTCAATTAACTTTTCCAGCACTTTGCAAAGTTGTTGCAATGAAACAAATTATTTTTAAATAAACAAAAAGTTATTAGTTGCCAGTTTGCACTTTTAAAAACCCTTTGATTTCATTTAAAATTCTTATAAATAAAATATTTTTTTTCATTAGCCTTTAAGTATTATTAAGTATTTTGTATTTATAAAGTTTAGTCAAGAAGAATTATTACTAAGATATAAACAATGAAAAAACTTTTTTTTTAATTTTGGTCCGTTCAAAAAAAAACAATTGAGCGTCAATTCCTTGTGTTGGCCAATCGAATTGACCGCTCACCTTTAACTGCTTATTTTTCACCCTGTATATATATATATATATATATATATATATATATATATATATATATATATATATATATATATATATATATATATATATACACATATCAGGCTTTTACAGAAAGGCGTGCGATGTCACGTCTTTAAATCACAACACAAATTACATTTTGCTATCACAGTTTGACCGCGGCTAATTCAAAAAACATTTTAAAGATGGGCTTAATGAAAAATATTCTAAAAAAGTTAAATTAATTACATCAAAACTACTTAACAAATGTTTTCATATTAGCAAAACATTTTTGAATAAAGTAACAATTTACTGAAAATGTTTTTTTTAAATATAATTGACAGTTGTATACATTTTTTTAATTTATAACATATAAATTGTTTAAGTGTTTATTTCTAAAATAAACGTTATTAAAAAATATAAAAAAATTTTGTTTTTATAAAAGATGACATTCTACAACTACAAAAGTCTTTTTAACAAATTTAAATATTAGATTAATTAAAAGTAATGCATTTAAAATAATAAACAAAATTTTGTTAAAAAAAAATGTTTTAGAAAGCCTTTGCAATTTAATAAGTTTGATCTTAAATGCTTTTATATGATCGAAACGCTTTTTAATAAAGTAAAAAAATACTTCTGATTAATTTAAAAATAAAGTATTCATAAAATGTTTTTTTTGATTTTTTATTTATATATAAATATATATTTTTTAGAAATATATACATACACATATATATATATATATATATATATATATATATATATATATATATATATATATATATATATATATATATATATATATATATATATATATATATCAGGCCTTGTGATGAATAAAAACTGCGCGACGCATAAGCATGAAGTGATTTTTGATGTCATTAAATTCTTTTATTTATTTTATTTTATTTATTATTTATTTGCTTTTCATATTTATCGACATTAACTGCACCAATTTACTTAATTACCGCAAAACTACTTTAAACCATTAATGTAGGAATACTATTATTTAAAAATGTATTGGAATGTTTTGTTTTTTAAAATGTAAAAATATTTGTTTATTTTTTGGACGTTTGACATGTTTTGTCTATACTAAACAAATAAAAAACATTATAACTAAACATTTAAAAAAGATTATAAATTATGCTAATAATTAATTTTTTTTTTCTCAATCATGTAATTTAAAGGTTTTCAAGTAATTATTTTTTCTTTTTAAAAAGTCAGCGAGTAATAAACTGGAAATTTTAATATTGTACCATTAAAAACTGTAAAAAAGCTAATATTTTTACCAGCGATTTTATATAATATTTTTTTATTTATTTATTTTTATTTATTTTCATAAAGCGGTTGATAAGCACAATCACTCGTATTACTAAAAAAATTTAACCAACATTTTAATTAGATTTTTAATGTTTACAAGGAATTTTATTTCTAGTAAAATAAAATAAAATAAAATGTTAGAATAAAAATCTTATAGGTATAAAAGCCATATTTCAGCAAAAAAATTTGCATATTAAACAATATTTAATACAAGGTGCGCTAAAATAAAAAAAAGAAAACATTACGTGGTTAAATATGAGAATTAATTTTATTTTATAAATAAACTTTTATACTAAATTTTTTTTGTTATATATAGTTCTCGTTTGACATTACAGAAATGTTATAAGTGGAAATCATGCTTGACACTTTTTTTAAAATAATGGCTAACTTGGTTTATTAAAAAAAAATTGTTACCTTTTACAATTTATTTTCCTGATGCGCTGTTGTGGATTTTTAACTAAACATTTTGATTCAAAAATTTGCTTTAAACAATTTCTTGTCTGGATCCTTTAAACTTCTTGTTAATATGTGTATTATTTCAAGTAATAAAATAAATTATTTAAGGAAAAGAGACTCAAGCAAAGATTTGTTTTTTTTTGTGTATATAAATGCAAGATATTTTATATAATGAAATTCTACAAAAAATATAACATAAAATCTAATATTTTTCCCTAGCATAAAATCTAAATACTTTCACTAGCAGTAGCAGTAAAACAACTTTTTTTTTTTAAGAAAAAAAAAATTAATGACCGTTTTATATATATACTCATTTAGATATACTTTATATTTTAAGTTTTATCAAATGGCTTATGATTACAGGTTGCAAATTAATTTTAATTTTATTTCTTACGCTTATTGAGCCTTTTTCAGGGTGTTTGAGGAAATTTGCTTTACATCGGTAGAAACCAGGTAACAAAACCAGGTTATATAAACTTATTAGACCATTGACGTTCTATTTTTCAGCAGCTGTTCTTGAGCAGGCTTTATTGAGTTTCGGTAACTTTTAACAAAAAAGCGATTGTTAATTTTTCTTGAGTTATTTTTTACAAAAATTTTAATAACTGTACTTTTTTATTAAATCAAGTAGAATAAGTTTTAAACATTTTAATAGAATTATTCAGCAATAGCAACTTTGCTATTGCTGAATAATTTTATTAAAATGTTTGCTTAAAAAGATTTAAACTTTTTTTTTAATCTGAATTTTTTTCTACTTGTAAATAAAGAGCATATTTAATAGTAATTAAATATGCTCATTATTTCAGCATATTTAATTACAACTAAAAAGATTGAAACTTTTTTTAAAAATTGTAATTTATACTTCTATATCAACTGCTTGCGGTTTTTAAAATACTTTATTAAATGTTAAAATAATCGTAAATTACTTCATTAAAATTCCATTGATAAATATCTTTAAATATACTCAAAAAAAAAAAATGTGTGTTGAGATTTTGTTGCATAACGAAAAAATGCAACCTGAACAAATGTTACTTTACTCAATAAATATATTTACATCTTTACAAGTTTAATTGTGTAAGTTGCATATTTTAAAATTCCTCATTGAAATTAATATTAAAACCACATTAAAAATTATTGGAAATGAAATCACTTTAAATTAAACAATATTTTTATAAAAAAAAATTATAAATAAAATTTAAATGTTGATTAATAAAAAATTTCGTTATTTTAAAATCTTATACTTATTTATCTTAATTTCTCTTCTTTAAAACATTTGCTTATTTTTTTTTTTTTTTTTAAATGAGGAGACATTTGTTTATGGTTGATTTTCTTAAAGGTATTTAAATGTACTTACAACTATACACAGAGATTGGGTTTTCCCTTTAAAAAAAAATGTTTGCACTAACTTGCTTTTGATAAGATAAAAATTGTAATTTAACGAAGATTACTGCTTTTTGGCTTTGTTTTTTTTATTTCCATTAATATATTTTATTTTTATGGACCGTGAAATCTAACGTCTTTACTATTTTTACTCAATCTAAAAAAGCAGAACTTGTTTTTAATAAATAACAGTATAATTTTTAAATTTGCATATCTTATATTTATAGCACTAGTATTAATTTTGTTTTTAATATAAAATAAATATATAAGTTGGGCTTTTAATGAGTTTATTAATTGATCTCGTTATTTTAAATCGGTTTGGATTTTGGTTTATTTTATTAAAAAAAATACTCCTACATCAAATATAACAAGGGGAAAATTTAAACATAACATTTAAAACAGAGTTAAAAAGAACTTTTTTTTATTGACATCATTTTATTAACTTGTAGTTATAAAATGATTAATGCACTTTTGTAAATAATGAATGAAACTGAATAATGCGCTTTTGAAAGCCCATTATTAAGCCCAGAATTTGGAATCTATATTATATAAAAAAATTAGCAAAATCTAGGACATGGGGTGACATTTTTTGTTTTTTTCTGCTGATTTGACATGGAGTAACCCATCATATACTTAATGCTTTTTTTTAAAAAAAAAACATTTTAGCTGAAATACTAGTACACAAAAAAATTTTCTGCATGGTAAAATTCTGTACTATTTTTTCAGTGTCCTAATTATAAGAAATAAAAGGTGTAAATTTTACCTTACCTAACCGTTATTATCTAAAAGTAATTCTAAGTATTATCTATAAGTTACCAGTACTGTGGTTAAGTATTACCTATAAGTTATAAGGTACTGTGGACACAAGTAACTTGAATGATATACCAAAAAAAAATCATTTTTAATAATCATAAATACATAAAAAAAAACAAGAAAAAATAAATTTTTTTATATAAGTAGCAGTAACCTGACCACCAATGCTCTAACAATGAAGCTGTCGGATCTTTTTGCATTTCCAACCAATGGATAAATTGAAAAGACTTTTTCATTTTCTCTGCCAAAGTTTTGAAGTCCTTACCATTTAATGGAGAATTTAATAGAAAACTCAACCTTGCTAAAATATCTGCAGGTAAATCTCTAAATAGAAATTGTAAAGATATCTGCAACTAAATCAGCAATGATATCTATAGAAAATATCATCAATAGTAAATAAGAAAAATCAACTTCACTTGAATGCTTTAGGGAACATTAGTTGAGCTATTTTTTAACTAATTAAAATTTAGTTTCGCCAGCGTTTGTGCAGACTTGGACAGGAATGGCGTGCGACTGAGAGCTATTGCTGACCACGCAAATGATTTTATTTTTTGACAATTTGACCATGATTGTTTATATGTTTTGATGATTAAAACATTTCAGAAATGCGTTGAATGTAGAAACGTTAAGCTAAACTTAAACTAGGAAAAAAATATAAAAAAAAACTATCAAAAAAAAAATCCTAACAAAGAAGAATTGAAAAAAAAATCCTTACGAAAAATAAATTATAAAAGCCTCTAAATAAAAATGAAAAATAAAAACTTAAACTTTAAGCGAAACTTTTTATTATTTTTTAATTACATTTGAAATAAATGTTATTAAAACTTATATATTTAAAAGTTTTATTAAAATTAAGCAAAACGCTTTTAAATTAAGTAACAAATTAGCACAAATGATTATTTATTAAATGAACAAATTTTATCAAATTTATAAAAAAAGTTGCAAAAAAAAACTCTTTCAAAAAATGACTTAATTAAAAAATAACATAATTTTTAATAATTTCATGCTTTAATAAGACTAGTTAAGAAAAAGATTTTCGACTTTTTAATTTGTAAAAATAAAAATAATAAATAAAATGTGCTAGTGATTTCAATAAACTAAACTGCAAACAAGCAGCTTAATTTTAATTTGAGCGCTACAAATTTGTTAATAAGTGCTTTAAGTAACAAATTTAGAAATTACTATGAAAGATTTAAACTTATTCATTCTTATTGTAATTGAAAAATAAATAAAAAGAAATCTTTAAAAAATATAATGTATAAAAGGTTTTAAAAAACACAAGTTTTATTATAAAAAATTATTCGTATTAACATTAGGAAATGCTTTAAAAGTTTTCCATTATTCAACAAGATATAAGTTAATAAATTTATTTTATATTTTTGAATAATTCATATAAAATGTGTAAAAGCTATTAGTCACAAAAGGTTTTAAACTTATTCAAAAAATTCTTTCTAAATGGTTTAAAAAATTAAATTCTTTCTAAATGGTTTAAAAATTCTTTCTAATGGTTTAAACGTATTTTAGGAAGACATAGAAAAATTGTTTCAAACATTGAAATTTATTATAAAAAAATACATGCCTACAAAAAAAAATTTATACATAACATTGATTTTAAATTTACACATCACGATTAGCAAGAATCCTTATAATGTCTACCTAGCTGTCCCAAGAACACCACTTATACGGAAAGTTAGCATACACATCAAGGTACCCTGTGAGGCTAATTTTGAAATCATTTAATTTTGCCCACGGAAAATCATTTAATTTGAATGTTCAAATTAAGTCAAATTGACTTCCTAGTGCGCCATTAACAACGCTTTAATTTGAACTACTCAATATAGAATGTATACTCTATAACTACTCAATATAGAATGTATAAATTTCGGCCTAATTAGATGACTGGTGTAGAATTTATTGCAGTTTTAGTTTTGTCAGTTTTTTGCTACTTATACATCAAAGCGTTACCGATTACTTTATAATTTGGTCACTATTTTAAAAATAACGGTTACATGAGTGTTCTACTATGTAATACCAACAATTTTTGTAATAATTATTTTATTGGTATATGTACAGTTTTCATTAAAATCAAAATAGTGATTTTCTACTATAAGCGTGATTTAAATAATAGTGCTAATAGTGTCGACACGGCCTTCAAAGTGGAAGGGGTCAATCCCTTAATTTCTAAAAAAAAAAAAAACATAATTTCTAAAATAATTGCCTATATTTCTAAAACAAAATGTCCTCTAAAAAAAAAGTAGAAAAAGACATGACCCCCTAGCCTCCCCCGCGTTGATGGCCATGTATGCTTTGCTTGAATATACCAACATTTCCTGGTATAAACTGCTGCCAAAAAAAAAGAAGCTAAAAAAAAGTGCAAATCCTAATCATAGGACTACCAGTTAGTAAAACAAAAAACAAAGTAGATCTTCTAAATATTTTGTATTAACCTCCTTAAATACCTTTACTTTTAAAATGAAGTAAAAATTATTTAAATAGTACTTTTTACATTGTATTACCATCAAATATCTAATTACATTTTAAGAAATGTTTTTTTGATTTTCTCCACCAAAAGATTATTAATAAATAGCTCAATGTACTCTTTTAATTCAAATATTCTATAATACTACTTTTAAAGATGGTGAAAATATTCATTATGCGCAATAAAATATGAACTTCAGCAGCCTAATTTCTAATAACTCAAATGATGTTCTTTAAAAATGCTTACTGTTTAGATCAATTATGCAGCGCTACAATCTTTGTACTCTGGATTATTATTTTTTTGCTTATACCTCGAGCAATGTTGATAAAAATCTTGATGAGAAGTTTTGACAGTTTGTTCACTATAATGCCCCAAGGGGGATCCTTTGTGACTAATAAAATCCTTGATGTGGTAATAGACGACATGAATTTTGGATGTTACACCAATTATCATTACGTAACACTTTTTAAAATTTTCAATTTTTTCAGCAAAATCCGGCTGAAGAATGTATCCAAAGCAAGCCTTGACAACTAAATTGAAGCTTTTGAATGCTTCAATTATGCACACAATATTGGGAACCATGTTTGTCTCAGCAAGTTGCTGCAGCATAACCACATTTTTAAGAAGCATCCTGCATTCATTTCCCTCAAACTGGCCCCTGTGATACAGACTCAGTTAAATGTGGATGGTGGCTGGCCACTTAACAGCTTCTATCCAAGCAGTTTTAAGGATCTTGAAAAGATGGTTGACAACTCCTAATAGGAGATGCAATTCCATCGGAATTGGAATGATTTATAAAATCAGAATATTGACAGGCGCGCAGATGATTGGATTTTGAATAACATTGTCAAACTTCTGGCAGGATTGTTGCATTAGCAACAATCCCGCCAGAATGCTAAAAAGACTCAAGGCTTGAATTAATTGTGACCATTATTCGCAAGTGTCCATATTTGGCAAGAGAATTAGATTTGACGTCACACCAGGTGCAAGGGTGCACCTGGTGTGACGTCAAGTTTGAAGAGCACAAATTATATTTGCAACTTTCATATCACAAGCCAAAATTAGTTTAACTCTATTTGCAGTAATCCGTGATCAGATTTGTTCAATACTGGAGTGTGTTTCTAACAAATCTTCTGAAACCCCAAAAAAATTTGTTTCTTGACTCTAGTGTCTTTACCAGTCCTTTGAGTGAGAGGTTGTTGTTGGTGTGGTGAGCTGGTTTCATCCCTTAACGCAGTATCAACAATGCTTAGGCAAAACATGAGAAAACCTTTGCAACCATCAATTCTGAACTTTACAAAATAGTCACCAGAAATTTTGTGGGACCGAATAACATGATTCACAAGATTTGATAAATCAATGCAGTGAGCAACAACATGAATTGAACAAGAATCTGTTTTTTCACCTGTGATTTTTAGGTTGCTGCAGGTGAAGAAATCTCTCAATTGTTGACCTAGCCTTAGAATATTCATGTAATAATTTCGCTCAACCATCTTGCTGATTGATGTTTTGTTTACAGTTCTAACAAGTTTCTTTAATCCATTGTTTGACAGGGCCGTATTTAATTGCACATTTACACTATTTTGACCTTAAACCGAAACATACATATTTTATAGTTACAATAAACTTTGTTTGGTAAGTTTGTGTAAAACTTTCAAATTATTTGTTTTTAAAGAAATTAGAAACTTGTCTAAAATATACTTCTTGAAATCTATCTAGTGTTATTTCTTAATACTCAAGACTTTATTTCAATATATATGTTAAAATTATTTAAGTATAAATATTTAGCAGGGGTAAACATTTATACTTATTTGGTTATAACAAAATAAGTATAATGTTTAACCTATACTTGATTTGGTATCTTTTGCTGCTAAAGATTGAACGTTTTTCCTTGAGAGCATTGGTGGGGCAAACCATTTTCCTAAAGGGCTGAGACATTTGCTGCAACGCACCTTTGGTTTTTCTCAATAGTGGTTTGCAATACAAGAGAAAGTTTTTCTTGCAGCTTTGAACCACCAATTCAATATTAGGCATATTAGGCAACAACAAATCGTGCCTCTTATTTCAGGTCTCACTTGTATTGACTTGAGATCAAACAAAGGAGAGAGTGCAACTTCTTTCCCCTCTTGTTTCCTGCACAAAGTAATTCTACATGATTCGCAGAATCTTTTTGGTAGCCGAGTATCACTGATATCGATCTTAGTCTTGTACAGTAGGCATATTTGATCTGCTGGAAAAGTAGTAAGCTGTCTTAAACATTTCTTTCAGATAGAGCAAGCACACAAATTTTCAATTTTCATCAAGATTCTTTGCTTGATTTGGCATCGTGACAATTTACTAAATTTGACTTCACTAATTCAAACTGTGCCTTTCGCAAAATTTGACCTAAATTTATATTTGATAACAATCCACTTAACATAGTAACACATATTATTAATTAAAAACTATTAAAATAAAGAAAATATTTACTTGATTTAATTGAGTTTATATTAAATTACAAGGAAATAATTCTTGAATAGTTATTTCCTTACCAGGAAACAATTATTTAAACTATTTACTTGTTAGGAAATTACATTATTGATAATTGTCACACTTATTAAACTAATGATACTTGTCACAGGGGTTGTTTTATTTCAAAACAACCTTTTAGCCTAATTAGTTATTCAGTTAGAATAATTTTCCTCCGACTGGCCCTCAAACTTTATATTAGTTAGATATCTTAGTTAATTGGTTAGATATCTTAGTTAACTAAATTTTTTAAGTCAATTATCTTTGTCAATATAAAAAATATTTGGTTTTTTCAGTTATTCTGTTTTCAGATAAATAAATATTGATATTTTCTATT